ACTTTATGAATTTGCCATTTTTTATTTTATGCTTTATTTATATATTTCCTTTGAGATGGTAATGTGCTTATTTAAAGTTATAAAGCCCCATAACAAGGAAATGGAACCTTAGAAGGCAGGAGCGGAATAAACAAGTATTCACTAATTGACATAGACTGCGCGGGACGAAGGCAAATTGACTATCAAAGTATAAATTATATTCAGGAATGAATTGAAAGCAGATTAAACTCGGTAGATTCTTGATACAGTCAATTTTAAAGAAAAATATGTCAGTATAATGACAGGCAATTAGATACTTAGTCTCACGCACTAATTAAAGCGACTATTTGGGCCTAAAAGGGAGAAAATTAGATGAATAAGAAGGATATTACAAAATGAAAAGCTTAGCAATTTGTACTCTTAACTGGGATCTATTAGTGTGCTCAAATAAATTAAGATTGGTACAATGGGACAGGAAATACTAATGAGGATATTAGAAATGCATACGTTTTTATTCGGGGAAGCTGGAGGAAACAGACAACTTGGAAGACCAAAACGTAGGCTAATTTATTGAAAAATGGAGTAAGGTGGGAATGTGTGGACTGGAATCAATTGGCTTAGAACAGATTCTAGTGGAAAGCCTACTTGAGCATAGTAATGAACATTTGGGTGGTGAGATCTTCTGAAACGTCGTTTAAGGAGAAAACACAGTGCTGAGTTTATTGACCAGCTGAACGTTTATCAGCTCCTGAAGATGGGTTATACGGTATGGAGTTAGAATTTGTGGTCTAAAAGGATAATTCTGGAAAATCTTCTTAATCCTTATTTAGTACTGTATTTTATTAATGTTTATTTTAGAGTTTCTGAATAGACATTACTATAATATTCTTTTGACAAGGGATTCTCTGTTTATAAACATGGTGTGAGGTTAGGTTAGTTTAGTCCAGTCTGCACATCCCGGTCTTACTTTAACGTCCATTTTAATACAGTGTCATCCTGTCTACGTTTCGCTTCGTTGTTTAACATGAAGCTTCGAGTCATACATTTGAATTATTCTGCCCCAACGGGTCTCTCAATTAACTTGAAAGTTGTGAATGACATTTTTCTGCATTCGGATATTCTTATTTCAGAAGAACTTTTCAAATAAGGAGACAAATATTTAATGACATTCACAGTTATTCCTTGTATTTGGGCCTAATATAAAGAAAGTGACGGGGGACTGAAGAAAAATGCGTATTGAAGAGCTGCATTACTTGTACGCTTCACAAAATATTACTGGGATGATTCGAAATGCTTGAAAATTTTTGGTCTGAAAACCTGAAGGGAAGAGATCACTTGTAAGACCTAAGAGTGGATGGTGGGATAGGATTAAACCATATCTTAAAGGAACAAAATGGGAGGTTGTGGACTGGATTCATTTGTCTCAGCTTAGGGACCAGTGACGGGATCTTGTGAATATGGTAATTAACTTTAGGGCTTCATGAAAAGGGAGAAATTTTCTGACAAGCTGAGGTACTGTTAGATTCTAAGGAAAGATTGTGCTCCTTGAATTTGACTAGTTCCTTGGTTATTATTATTTTGAGTACCGACAAGTTAATTACGTCGAATTATATATAATTTTATTTAACATTAAATAACGCCTTTCGACTGTTGCTTTCGAAACCTGTAGGGAGAAGTGATCAATAATAAAGTAACGAAACGTGACTTTGATCTGTTTTGAGGCAGTCCCCTGGTGTACCTTTTCCAATTTCGGATTCCTTCCACGTAACGCTGTCGTGTGAAACAGGTGTAATGAACATTGAATTATTTCGGCACTAATAAACAATGTGAATTGCTTCCACTCATTTCACATTTCATTTGGAAAGCTTCGTTATGCATACTAACAGAGGCGTTGTGTTAATTAAGATAATCTAATAAATATCTTTCGTACACATTATCCACATATCTCGTAGTTCTGTACTGCGGATTGAGTGTCTACAGTCGGTAGTACCAGTCTGTGAATAATGTGAAGAGTAAGCACAAAGTGGATTAGGTCCTCAGAGTAATTAACTTTTAGAAGAACAGTGGGAGCTGCTTTAACGATCAGTAGTTTTACGTTTTACCTACAAACTGTATTAATTGGTTTTGCATGATTCTCAGAGTAAACTGCGATTATGTACTTAAGTAGTATTAACAAGTTGATCTTTGTGATGCGTGTGTGTTGTGTTCTCTTCGCGGTATGGGCTGGGAATTTATATATTATTCAAATACAAGCTTCAGATTCCATTATTATTACGTATTACGTATTAAGTCGAAACTGATCTTGGTATGTCGTCGATTTAGGAACTTTAACAGTATTTTTACTTTGTAGAATTTATTTGATTATGTAATAACCGTCTTATTATTATATTTTAAGAATTTATGTTGCTATGGAAACAGGTTTTGTGATTGTTGCACCCTCGCGCGCTAGTGACACTCCCAACTCAGACGTTTGTGCGTCCGTCATACATTTCTGCTGTTAAAAATTACGTTATGTGATAACAGGGACTCAAATATTGATTGAATTTCTCATTTCGACGTCTAGTAGATCCGTTACAAAATCAGTTGAACGGACTGTACAGTTCTGGATCGTGGCCTTTCACACCCACACATACTTCTTCTTGCAGCATTTTCTGTTCGCAGACGTAGGAGTAAAGCGTTGTGAAGCATCCTGTAGCGTGTCACGAATTCAGCAACCAAAGACACGGGTTAGTTGTCAGGCTAGTGCCACGTTCCATGTCACATAACTACAGTTGCCCTGTCCCTAAATGCGTAATTCTGACTTCTCCGGGGTTCGATTCCTGGTTTGAACACACACAGTTGCGGTGGACAATATGTGTGTACATACACATACGTGTATGCGCGCCCTAGAAATACTAACGACTGCTATTGATCTTGGAAGTTGATACAGCATAATTAAAAAAGTATGTTATGTTATATGTTATTTGTGAGTGTGGATGTGATATTTTCAATATTTCTATTGGAATGTTTGTACAGTTAGAATGTCTGTCTTAATCCAGTTGTAGCTTATAGTCTGTGCAATTCATCATTTGTAAACATTATGCTTTTCGACAGAGAATAAGAAAAAATCTGCATTTGACCAAATACGATAAGTAAACAGAGGAAGCGATTCTGTGTGTTATCATTTACAGTGGATACCTTGATAATATTAAAATGTATTATAAAGAAATAGGATTTAATGACGTGGACTTGATTCATCTGGCTAAGTTAGTGGCTTTTGAGAAAAGGATAATGAATCTTCAGGTTACATGAAAGGCAGGCAATTTCTTGATCAGCTGTAGAAAGTCTATGAAACAGAAGTTTCTGTAGAATTAAAAGAAACCGCAGAAGATAATTGATTAATACAAAGCAGCAATTAAACAAGTATAATACTGATTAAAGTAACAAACAAATGAACATGAAATTATTACAATGAATATGATATAGGCTTAAATGACGAAGTGATTGATATATTATAGCTGATAAATGCAAATGCAAAATCTGACGAAGAAGAAATGAAGAAGTAAATGGTCGAATATGATGTAATGAATGGAGATTAAACTTGCAGTAGCTTATCGGAGACTGACCGTCTCAGACGCGGCAGCTTGGTTGCTCATCTTCCCGTTAACCTTTGGTGCTGGTCCAAGCAGGCCGGTGCTCCGAACACATAACAACCTTTCTTTTGGAGACCCGCACCTGGGAACATTACGCTTGTGCTGAAACTCTCCTCAAAGACTCGTTATTTTTTATTCAGATATTTGCCATACTGTTTGTGTGTGTGTGCCTCCCCCCCCTTGTATTCCTCCCGAACAAGCAATTCTCATTCAAATTTGGCCATTTCATCTCGGTAAAACTCTTCTGTCGATAAGACCACCGAAATTCTCTCGCGGACAATCTGTGCTGCTGTTTCGTATTTAAATTATTAGCACCAAAATATTTTTTCATACTTCCCTATATTTCTTATTTTTTCAGAATATTCATTTTTAATCTTAATCTTTTGTTGTGTTTGTATTTTGTGAGATTTCGGATTCTCAAGGCGTCTAATATGAAGATGTCTGTCTTCTGGGTTGTTGCGCCTTGTAGTCTGGTAGAAGTTTACTGACGTTTCAGAGGTCCTTGCTGCCTCTATAATCAGGGCGACGATTCACCCACCGCACGGTGCAACAACCAAGCAACCTTTGTAGTTTGTTAATTGTTTCTAACTTTTTAACTTGATAATTTGTTCCATAAACTGTAATGCCAGATGAACAGAGTCCACACCCACATCAGTAAATATTTTAAACCAATATAATATTTTAGTTAAAACAAACAAAGCGAAATAACTCGTTTAGGGAAGGAATATACAGACGAGTGTGTGTTTACGCAAGAAATAAAGAAAAAAACTGTAATGGTAAATACTCGTTCCGTTTCTATTAAAGCAGTACACGTATAGTAAAATTGCTTAAGCATGTCTGTTTACCCAACACCTGACACTTTCCCATAGAAAATGAGCTATGTACTGTTGGTTCAAGAGAGCGTATGTGCCTGAGTAAACATTTAATAAGAGATGTGGTTACAGTAGTTCAATGCCCAAATTTTTGCTATAAGTCACGATAAGCCCTATGATTATAGATATATTTGGTTCGAATGTCGGTCGGAGAAGAGAGTGTGAGGGTGTACATTGGATTCATCTGGCTCAGAGTAGGGGCCGGTGGCGGGTTCTTTCAACACGGTAATAGATTTCCGGGTTCCTTGAAAGGTGTTCGGTTTCTTGACTAGCTGAATGACAATCATCATCTCATTGACTGTGTTTCATGGTCCTTACACACTCACAACAAATTTCTTCTTTATCCATGTCTGCATAGTTATTCACACGTTTTCGTGTCTCGTCCTTCTTCCACTTTGGTGCGTTAGAAAGAATCCTCCTTTGCATTGAGCCATGAGTTGCAAAACTGAAGTCCCGATCTGTTTTGCCTCTAGACAGACAGAACTCATAATATGCCGTACTATTAATTTTGTTGTAGGTATGAAGGAGGACAACCTGTGGTACTTACCCTGGGTGGTCCGCCCCGATCTGTTACATGGAACGCAGTACCATATTTCGCCATCTCTCGGCGTTATCAGAAGACGCCGTCGTACGACTTTATCCACTGCTGTTACTGGTAAGTCAAGCTGAGAGTTTCGTATATATGGAAAGACCATAGAGTAGACGGACTCGTTTTGTCGTAATGAGGCATGTTTTTTCTTCAGGCGGATAGGAAGCTTTCAGATGATACTTTATCTTTCTTTTAGGTTCACCTGTGTCCCTTTCTGCACTTGGCTCGTTTGTGTAGGGCCTGTCTTATTTCAGGTATTGTGTGGTCTTGTAAGGAGAAACCAACATTTGGAGAAACGTACTGTCTGTATGTGCAAGGTTGAAGGTGGAGGTTGTATGTTCCTTTCAAATGTTGGTGTCTACCTACAAATCCACATGGCGTTAAGTCCAGAAGAGCGGCATTTACAGATGTAACAGTACAAATGTACAAATAAATGTTTTGCCTCTCCATTGCCATTTGGGCCGAAGTAATTTATTCGGAGAGAGCAGAAGCGAATTCTTGCTTGTAGCAAGAGATGTTTCAGCAGTTTCGTGTTGCCACGAAAGGAAGTTACTTAATTCTGTACCACCATTTCCAGGATATGAAAATATATTGTGTTGAAATGTTTCTCCTCTTCGCTGTTGTTATCGTGTAACCTACTCTGTTTCGTCTAAAGTAGTTTTCCCTTGATCTGGCCGAGTACCTCGATTCATAACAGACGGTTTTATTGTATAGACTGCATTTACTTTAACTCCATGGACCATAGTCTTTGAGGAACCTAATATTCACTCAGCTGGTGAAAATAGGAGGGAGGGTGTGGACTGGATTAATCTGTCTTAGCATACGGACCAGTGAAGATCTTTTGTTAACATGGTAATGAACCTCGGGGCTTCGTGAAAGGTGAGACATTTCTTGACCAGCTGAGCGACTACCAATTTCACAAGCAGGACTGTGTTCGTCTCCTGTCCCGTCCTATAAAATTCCACCGTATTGATTTTCCTTAGGCGTTCCTGATGAGATATATAAGGGAAATTTCAAAAAGAACTGTTCTGGTCCTTTGGGAAACACTATCGTAATCCAGCCGGTCGGCGCAGTTTCAAGGGTCAATGACTTGGAACTGCTTTTACGGTTTGGGCATTATTAAGGTCGAATAGTCACTTACAAACATGACAGTTATACAAATATTTTCAATCGTTTGGCCAAAAGTAAACTCAGTTAAGCAGTGAATTCCTTCTTTTTGGGTTCCATCGGCAATGATTTATGTCCTTCTACATAATATCCTGAACGGATTTCATTATGTTATGATGTCACAAAGGAGTCCATATGATTAACCTCGTGTAGTGTAATCTCGCAGTCATGCCGAAGTTATTTGGACTACTTTCGCCGGTGGACAAATGTTCTTCGTAATGCTGGTGGTGAGAGAGCTTGAATAAGATTTCGCCGTTAATGTGGCACTAATGACACAGATGTGCAGGTAAGTAGTGGCGAGTAACAACAGATGTCGCGGGAGTTGCATTTTTGCTGTGGTGGTTCTGTTACGTAAGGAATTGGATTTATTTCTTTTTAATTTATTTGCAGAGTACATTCCGAGCAATAAGTTTTGAACTTTGTCGATTAGACTGAGATTGTTGAATGGAACGTTGTAGATTAAGATAATCTAATTTACGTTGTGCATCCCAGCAACAAACTGGGACCACCATTTGCACCAAAGTTCGGTGTATTTTAAATTAAATAATCCAGTCTTCGACAAATATAAATATCACTTCACTCTCTTTCACTTTGGTTCTACACAGAATCATGATGTAATAAAGTGTTTAGGTTGGCAAGTATTCCATTTAAGGTGGTATTTAGTTGTTGTTTTTACTGATGAAGCCCATTATTTTTAATGTCAGGCACACGTCTTAAATTAAGAATTGTAATCCTATAGCCTAGGCGTATTTTTTTATCAAGGCTAAACATACCGACTTTGACACTGACTGACTAAGATCAATTGGTGACTGCGTAATGAACCAACTAACCATTGAAATGGTACCGGGTTCGATCCTGGCAGTAGAACACACTTGCAGAAGGATGTGTGTGTTAGATATAACTGAGAAAATGGACAAATGGGCCTCTTTCATACTGGAAATCAAAGGTTTTGACATGATCCTGTTCCATTTTCGCAATCACAGATATTTGTTTTCCGTAACACAAATTTGCCGCGACAGTAGGCGGGAAAAGGACCGGGATGTTTTTTAAATGGAGATCCTGCTACCACTAAAGTGGCTGTCACTTGTGGGTCGACATGTACAGTAATGAAGAAAATGTTTTGCGCACGAAAACGTCGTATTCATTTCTGTTCTTCAAATGCTGGCTACAGGCTGGAAAACCAGATATCTATTTCCGGTCACTCAGCCACGAATTCGTGGAGCTATACCTCCACTTCTGCATGCGTCTTGATGGAGTGATGCCTGGACCTAACTAAGCACAGACACAGCTTTTTCTTTGCAGGAATAAACATGGATGAAACCGGTTTTTTTTAAATTATATTACAGTTAGCTATTTGTATTTTCTCTGTCCCTAATTTATAATTAACTTTAAAGTTTATTAATTAAAGTTATTAAGTCTCCAGTATTTTTCTCTGCGTAGTTCAACATTGCGGATGTCAGCGTCAGTCGGACATCGAACACAGACCCCCGGAAGTTCCTTCTGCTCATCATTACCATCACACTGATTACCGATGGAAACACTGTGGTAAGTTAAGTTACGTTTTAATTTCGCTTAAGTTTTAGGATTTATGCTTCCTCTCCAAGGTACTAATGGCCTGCTTCAATATGTTAAATCCTTTCAAATGTCGACAGAGATTTCATTTATTAACCATTTCGATACGTTACACTAGGTTTGTGTTTTTTATCGTATCTATATATACTACTACAGATATCGGTGTCGGTGATAACGGAATTTAACATGTATTTAGCGCATACAACGTTGTTTTGCAAAACTTAATCCAATTTGGAAAAGAATGCTACTTTAAAACACAACATCCCTTGTTTGATGGAAACCAAAGATTAGTGAAGCCCTTTTGAGCCAATCATTTTGAATGATGTTACATCTTAAAAACTTTTATGTCTTTTCATAAGGTCAGTTGATACTTAAAGTGGGAAATAACGACGTATCAACTGCCCGAAATAGTTAAATGACAACTCTAATTAATTAAAGCGAACATACTGAATGCTTCTATAAAACATTCTCTTTGTGCGAGATACGTAAGTTTCATATTTTCCTTATGGCTTAAAGTGTTTCTTTTGTGGATGAATTGGATTTATTTGTAAAACTTTGCTTGCTTGAACTATTTTCTCCGGCGTCTTATCGTTCTTCTTTATTGATAAGGTGCGAATGTGTTTAATTAGAATTTCATAAAGCTGGTTTCCGAACCTTGATACAAGTTTACTGCTGTTTGCAGGGCAGACCTATAGTTGCTACAGGACAGAATTCAGGGTCATGAATGTTTTAATCCTGTTTGTTCAGCAAATATTTACTCAGATGCAGGCAATGACCCACGGGAATACGCGCTTCAGTTTTGTTTAGAGTCGTATAATATTGCCACATCATATCTGACAGTTTTAATATAACTGTTCACCTGGAAGACCAGATTTCAAAATTTATGGGAGAGTATGGCGCTTCAAGGTTGCCTTGAGAGGGCTGTTGTTGGTGGCATTCTTTTGTTCTTCGGAGTCGTGATGCCTGTTGGATTCGTAGGTAAAAAGCATCTCAACTCTGAAGATGGAGACAGTAAGTATCTCCGAGTAAAGGGTCTACACGGCTTCACAATCCAGAAGAATAATGTTATCTTTAACTCCTTGAGAACCCTAAATCTCAATATGACTATTATTGCTTACAGCACAAATACGTTTATAGAGAAAATAATCTTTGTGTGTGTAGGCTAGCGGGGCACTGACTTTAATCCTTTGACGCCGAAAAAGAAAGTTAAGCAGGACAGTAGAAGAGTGGGAAAAAGAGAAAGTTACGGAGAAATGAAAAGCGCTTTCTTCCTGAATAGAGAAAGGGCGACATTTTGTTAGAATTTTTCCAGACTTTTCCCGGTCGATTTTCTGGAAAGGGTGGAATGAGAGCAAAAAACTTTAGTGTGATGATAAGCAGAAGCCAAATAATATTAAAAATTAATTTCTTGCCTCAAAGAAAACGCAAGGCGTCGATTATAAAGATTAAATTGATAATTATGTTTATGGAAATAAGCCTTGTTAACTCTCGGTCTCAGATCCCTTAAATACGCTCTGTGGACAAAATTAAGATTTACTTATTGTTAAGATGGGCGGTATACGTATAGTTGCCTCTAAGTTTTGAGAGTTTAAACTCATCTCATTGTCTGTTTAGGACACTGACTTCAGCAAGTCTTTTTGAGGTCATTATGCATATTTCACATATTTCACCTCATGAGGTCTAATGTATACATTCTGTTTGAATTTCGAAAATGTTTTACTCGTCCGCGTCAGAACATAGTAAGATAGCGGCAGAAGAAGTTAGGCCCCCCGAGGAAGCCGCAATGGAGTTGATTCCTGCCTTTAAATACGTGACAAATGTCCAAGACAAATCTCAGTTGATATTACACTTTTTATTTTAAACTGTCCGACTTTGTTCATCATTACAATTTAGTAATTTCAGCTAATGTCGAAATGATCCCGACAAATGACCAGGGAAGACAACAGACCATCCATTAATCTACAAAAAAAAAAGCAGCAACCTCACACTTTCCATGCCATTGTCCACAGGGAAATATCTCTAGACCTTGTTATGATGAAATCGTCTCTCAGAGTCAGCTGCCATCAGCTTCCTGCAGCAGCATTATAATATAGTGTCTGCACCGTGAAGTTGGTTAATTAGTTCAGGCATTTTACTGACGGAGTAAACCGTATTTATATATAAATAATTAATATCAGATTTAGCGTATATACGGTTTCGAGTAGGATAGTGTCTTCAGACATCAATGAACATAAACTGTTCTTATTATACAGATTCACATATTAATTCTGCTGTTGCCGTAAGTGTTTATTATTAAACCCGTATCTAAATCTTTGCCAGAAAAATGCATTTTAACCCCCATTTTCACCCCAGGATATTTAGAGACTAAAAGTTTCAACCCTTAAACCTTACCCTTTTTAAATTAGACTGAGTATACGATGTTACTTTTAAATTTCACTATATCACGAACAAATTTTAAATGTTATTGTTGTAGCATGGCATAGTTCCGCCAATTAATGTTAATATTTAAATTGTATATTTTTCTGTTATTTCAGTCTGAAAATTTAAATACGTTATACTTCACTTTCCCTCCTCAAAGCAAGAAGAAAACTTGTGAAATTGCTATGTTGTCTGTGAGTTACCCATTCAAATTTTTGAACTACTCGACCGATTTTGCCAAACTTGTTACGAACATTTTACCATTGGAGGCGGCTCCAAGCCCTTAATTTTAATAACATGGATGACGCACTAATATGCGAGGTGGGGCGAAGACAAGCTACACTTAATATGGCGTATAGTGGGACAAACTTTACTTTATTTTACTTTACTGATATGATGCAGGTATTTAAAAAATGTATTGAACGTTAGTCGATGTAACTTCTGTTAAATGTAAAACAACAAGTAATCTAAAAATGTTGACGAAGATGCATTGTAATCTGTAAAAGTGGTATTTTTGACTGGTCTGAGGCTACCTCAACCACGGCGCACAACAGCTAGGGTTTCTGTCGTTTCCCATTTTACCTGAAGAGGGGAGAATATCCAGCTTTCCAAACGTTGTCATTTTATTGAAATATAGACGATTTATAAAGTTCGAAGTAAAACAACATGTCGGTCATACGAAAATTTATTTTAATTTGACACTCGTAGGTAACAAACGAATGGAAGCACGTGTGTGGAATTTGATATTACGATAGGTACCCTGTACACCGTTTTTAAAGAAATAGCTTGCAGGGCTAAAGCCCTGAATATGGAGGAAATATGATTTTCCGAGACGTTGGTATCTGTCTACAAGGAACAGGGCGTTACAACTCAGAAGACCAACATTGGTACTGTTATTGTCACACACGATTTTGAAACAAATCTTAAGCACTTCAAATAGGTTGCGATTAGGCAGTATGAGAAGTGACCTGTAATTCGAAGGAAGGCCAGATGAGCGCCTTAGCAGCTGTCTCAGAATCATATCTTTTGTAAATTAATAACGAACAAGAACAGGTGCGACTGGGGAACGAGAATCCAGAAAAAAGTGTAGGAGCAATAATTTGAGGAAGTTCTGTTTGTCGGAGAGCCATGGGAGGGTACAGCTTATAGGAGAGACAGAGCGAGAGAGCCAGCGAGCAGCTGTGAGCTTCTCAGCCTGCCTAATCCTAACTGTGGCCGGTATGACAGTTCTATGTTTCGTCTTTTAGATATTTGCAGTAACATTAAAACTCTGTTTGTGACATTGCTATAGCAAATCTGAAGGATTTTTATTCTGATTGTGCCTACTTCAAATTAGCAAAGGTTACAGTGTCACGAAAAAATATAAAATATTTGTAGTTAATGTGAATAGCCTTGTCGCCTGATCTCCTGACGAATTTCCTTCGAGATAAAGATGGACCTTAAAAATAAACACGTACGTTATTGACTTTCAATTAACTTAAGATCCAGGCCGTTACTTCATTAGGCGCACGGAACTTGGAGAAACCCCAACAGTGTATACCACACGCGGTACTGGTTGGTCGGAGAAGTTGCCGCATTTTCACGGCGTACAGCTCGCCAAGGGCAACAAAGTAAAATTCTACCAAAGGTTTAAACGCAAACTGGACTCGGCGAGTATTCAGAATTTTTACTCTGTTTCGTCTTCTTCTCAAACTAAACTGAATATTAAAGTAGAAGCTTACACAACTGTAGTCTTAAGAACATTTTCTCGGCCAACAGACACTTTTTGACAATATTTGGCATGGAGTACTTATAGTATCGCTCTAGTTAATGGACTAATCGAATTCTCACTACGTTTTGGGTAACATGACAGCTTTTCGATGAAACTTTATTCGTATGATTATTACCATCTGTAAATTTTACTCACTTCATTTTCTTTCAATGACTAGTTTACACTAGGGTCGCAATGAATTTACGTAGGCCTATGTCTTATTAGTTATTTTGACTAATTTTATGAAACGTATTTCTTTATATGAATTTAATTCTCTTTAATTTGTTTTATGATCCAAGTTACATGTTATTGAACTAGTTGATTTTAGGTTTGTTCGATTAATTCTTCTGGTACCGAGATATTTTTCATTTGACAGTGAATCTGTAGTACAGTAATGTATTATCCTGCACTCTTTCTACATGTTTTACATTTTACGTTGTTTGTCTCTCTTAATCAAAACTCCGATGTTTGAAATTGCTTAAGATCCTAAATACTCTTCTCGGTGTACAAAATATTGCATGCAACCAGAAAGCAGAGAGACGGCATACGTAAATTAAACACACCCTTGAGCACCATTCACATGATGCCTATGAATGTTATTCTTGCCTCGCGTCTTATTTTCTTCCCCTCCTTCTCTTTTGAACTTTACACGTGTTACACCCCTTACTACTTTAGTGTGCTAGAAACGAATTCCACCTTACATTTGATGCCATTGTACTTTTTTGACAGCTTGTTTTGGTTTATTCATTTCCTGGATCTAACCAACTGTGTCAACAATTCGGTATTTGTCGAATAAATTGCATCT